TCGATTCCACAAGGTCGCCAGTTCGACCCAGAAACAATGCATTTATTTTGCATTTGGGTTTGATCACCGTACCAAGCTATCTATTTACCTGGAGAGTTAGGTGTCTGTTAACATTCAAGCCACTCATCTAATCCTGCTTTGCATTTTCCAAGTATATTTTTTCACCCTTTTGACCTTGCGAGCTTGCCGGCAAGCTCACAAGGGCCAAAAGGGGACAAGACTTTTGTCAAATGGCTGATGTACACAGCTCCGGAAATAGCTGCCAAGAGAACTCTGTGTAGTCAGCTAAACAGAGGCTGTGTAGTGACCTACGCTGACCTACGCAGCTCCGGAAATAGCTGCGCAGATCATGTTTAGGCGACCGCGGAACGCAGTGCTTGATGACCCTGCTGACAGTTGCCGTTGTGTCTATAGTTACCCGCAACTTAAATACAGAGAATCCCAGTTACCTACCGTACACCTTTCCTTCCATCCTTCGTATTGGAGATGTCACCTACGTCGAAGGCCGTCTCGCGCCCGCTTGAAAGCCACATCACTGCAATCCCTGAATCCATCAATGGAGTGGTGTCGACCATGCCAGTGGTTTGTGTCCCTTGCTCACCACGGTTCCCATCCCTTACTATCTACCCTTCAGAAGAGATTCAGTGTCGGTCGCCAGGGAATCACACTCCCCATCTACCTCCCCACTGTCAATGGGATCCCAGTCGTTACAGTTCCCACGTTCAAAGGTTCCACCGTGATTACTACCTCTGGCAACCTCCCCAGTCTCAGTGGGATCCCAGTCCTTACCCTTCCCATGTTCATAGGTTCCACCGCGATTACTACCTCTGGCAATCCCCCCAGTCTCAATGGGGGCCCAGTCCTTACCAGTTTTATTGCAATTCCCGTGTCCATAGGTTCTACCGAAATTACTACCTCTGGCAACTCTTTCCCGACTCTCACAGTCCCCTCAACATCTACCGTCGAGGAACCCATAGCTGCAGCAGGAATAACAACCTTCAATCCGACTCGCACTTCATCCTCAAGCTCCCCTCACAGGACATTGTTCTCCGCTCCGGCCTCCAGTACATCAAAAGCATATGATCCCGGCCCCGTTTCCCCTGTGACATTCTCCCAATTACAGACCTCGTTATCTGCGATTGGAGTGAGCTCAAACATACTCGCAGTGTGTTCACTTCGTGTAGGCTAATTTCCAAGTCACTTACGCTGGTGCTTATAGGCTGAGGTATTTCTTTATGGTGAGCTCAACTCCTTGTGATACACTGGACTAAGGTAAACAACTTCAGAGGCATATGTGGTCATGTTTGGAGTGTACTTGAAAGTCCTCTTGCGGCCCGGTGGGATCGCAAAAAATCGCGGCGTAACAGTTGCGACAATTTTACTATTTATCTTCTGCACCGTGCAATGTGTACTCCAAATCGTCACCAGCACACTGTACAACCAGTTGGAATCAAGAAGCATCGGAAACTCAGAGACCTTATTCAATCGAACTTTCAAGGATTATTCTTCGGCTGTGATTGCAACAAATACGGTGTATATTAAGTACTAGCAAGTGCGTCAGAGTCCAGTAACTCTTCGAGAATCGTGCTGAAGCGATTGGAGTATCATAGCAGATACAATTTTTGTAGTCATTATCGTCCCCGTATTTCTGACTTTTGCTGTCGCGGGTGAGGGGCCCCGGGATTTCGCCGTGGCGCGCCGTGCCGTTACGTGCCACCGTGGTGGCTGTGTTGGCGTGTCCCGGCGGGAGGCTGGGGTATCTTAGCACGGTCCCAAACCACTCGAAAGTTGCATTGAAGGTATATGTGGTGATAACTAGCATGTTTGTGTTTGAACTGTACCTGAATTAGATCAAAGTTAGTATGTTCAACTGTGTTGGTTGAATTTTTGCCACATTGACCGACTTTGAGGCACGGGTACCACTTCCCAAGTCATCGCTGTACACCAAAGGGTGAGCGAAAGTCAGTGGACACTCATACGGGGACTACTCAGGTTGTACGAGTAATATATTTCTCAGTTCTTTACTCTACAATCATTCAGTCGACCTGTCAAAGTCAGTTCAAATATCCTCAAGTCGTGTCTGTGGGTATGAAACAACGCAAGGAATCAGCAACGGCATCAATTGGAGACATTCTACTCCCTCGGAATAAAAATAGTCACTTGCACGCACGGCGGGACACGGTGGTGCACGTTGATGCCACGGCAGTGCACGGTGCCGTGGCACCGTGCAGCACCGTGCACTGCCGTGCAGCACCGTGCTAGCCAATTCCTCACCGATAATCATTGCTACTGCCAAAGTGGGTCTACATTCACGTCTTCCTCGCTCAAATTATGCTGCTCGCGCGGAAATGTGGCCGTTTTAGGAAATCTCGATCGCCATCAGAGATTTTGATAGACGTACGGTTGCTCTACTTTTTTTTCATCCACAGTGAGCGTCAGCGCTCGCCTCACAACCGTGGTCTTCGTATGTTCCCAGCCCTATGCTACTTAATTTTGGTACTATCAGGTCATCCTCCAGGGTTTCTTGCGGCATATGGTGCACCATGGTGTTCAATATTTTGCCGCACCTGCTGCAACTGCAGCACCAGCTCCTGGGTTGTGTAGGGCGTTTCCATTCTGTGTGCCCTCCATCTTGAGTCCTGAGAGTTTTTTGATTCAACAGGTATTCTCTTCCTCCCTCCGTCTTCTCGTTGGCGGCCAACATCTATTCCACAACATCTATTCCAGGGAGTATTACAGGCTACATGCAGAGTAGCAGTTCCCAGTCATACCCTACACACTCAGCCGGTGGGTATTCTGTAGGAAAGGACATGGCTGACAACTGGGAAGCCGGCAAACACAGCACTCGAATCTGCCAGGGCATCATGACTTACGACCAAGACCTGCACGCTTGTTGCTGCACACGGCCTCCAATTTGAACCAACTGGGTGAAGCACACAATTGATAAGGTGAGCCATACAGAGCCACAAATATTCGGAGAGATAAAGCACAATTCCAAGCGCGTTGAAGGAGAAACGCGTCCAGAACACAACAATTCAACCGTGGGAATGCAATTGATGGCCAACTAAATAAGGCAAAATCTCATTCCACAGGCCGTATTTAGAGGTCCGGTTTACGACGGGGGGTAAACTATGTCACTGGATAGCATCCTAGCCCCCGAAAACCAAGTCCCCGAAAAAAGCCTCCAGTGGCACGTCGGGACACGCCAACACTGCCACTGCGGCACGCCACGCCACGGCATGCCACGCCAAAAAACCGGTGCCCGCCGCTGCATACTCCGAACACTCTTCGCTCCGCAGACTCGGTTGTGGCCGAATTTTCGTTCAAATTGTTTGAAATCTCAGTTCTGCTGTCCATTTGTACCACCGTGATCTTAATGGTTTTAACGGGTTCGGATTTATCGCTAAACAAGCATAGACGCAACTGACTTCGCGTTTATAGCCGGTCGAATCTGGTGGATAGTACGAACAGCTCGGACGCTATTGGGGCCAACGGTGATCTCCAAATACCATACCGCATGTGCCATGACGTACGTACTGGCTTTCGTTTCTCTTTTTTCTACCTCACGGCCAGAAAGCTTGGAGTCGGGTGCCATTTACTGCGTCGGCGCCATTGCGTTCGCCACCATCGGGTTTACGTTGGATCAAGTATATGTGAGATCAACCTCCCGTTTATATCGGATCTAATATATGGATAGTGGACCACGGGAGCCGTACTGGGACAGTTGGTGGTTCGTGAAATCCAGCGATTCATCCCGAGTTAAGGTCTCACTCTGTATTGGACAGGGAATTGCACCCACGATTATCGCAGTCCGCGTTGGCCTGGGCCGTAGTGTTAGCAGTGTGGAGAGTTTTGAAGTCGTGACACAGGGAGGGAAAGGGACCTCGGGATTAAAACTTTGGATGTAGGGTCATTGTTGTCCATTAGGTGGACTCCTTTTGTGCAAGTGATCTTTGAAGGTAGAAAGGCTTGGTCGAATTTCGGTTGAGGAATGGAAGCCGATAGTTTGCCAAGAACTCGATATAAATGTGGTCAGAGGGATGGTTGGTGCACCCAAGCTTCAACACTGAATTTTGACAGACCTGTGACCCTCCAGAGGCTCAGTGAATCATTATCTGCTCGCGATTGATACGTTATTCCCGCGGTTCGAATCCACCCGTAAAGACCTTTGATCGGCGGTTGTGAATGTGAAAGAGGAGACTGGTAGTAGTTCTGTCCTGGGTCCAACTCTTGGAGGGGAACGGGGGAAAATGTCGTGGGTCAACCAACGCCTTATTCGGGCACGGGGGGGTCGAACCCCCTCCTGCAAGCTATATACATCCGTACCGCGAACCGCCGTAGGAAATCTCGAGGTGTGTCGTACGACACACCCGATTCCTAGACCTATGAGTAAGTTTCGTGCTCACGTTGAATGCCGCTGAACCTATTGGATGAAATAAAGTAGCCACATAGCGCGGAACATGAATGAGCAAAAACAATGGACCTTGATTCTGAAAGGTGGAAGAAAAAGGTTGAGTTTCGAAACGCTATTCGGGCGCAGGGAGTCGAACCCCGAACTGCGGACTTTATATTTAGAATCAAATCCGTCGACTAGAGACTCGCGGTGCACCGTACACCACACCCGTTCCTGGCGCCTAGAGGCGGTGTCATGTTGAGTGAGTGAACCTGCCTCTATACAGAGGAGCTCGAGGGTCGGGTGTTGACAAGCAGAGCGAACTTGGGGGGTTCGAACATGTATGGTAAGTATTTGAAAGGGATGGTAATTTATTTTCAGTGTGCAAAACGCCAGAAATTAGATTTGTGCACACCTGTGACTCCCAGCGGCTCGCTGTCACCCTGTGAATCGGAATTGTAGGCATTGATGGATTGTTCCCACGGGTCAAGCTCACCTGTAAGGCGCTAAAGTAAATTTTGATCGGCGGGCAGTGGACACCGCCATGAATTCTGTTCTGAGGCCTGAGGAAAATGAAAAAGGAACTTCACAGCACTCTCCAAATTTATTCGGGCGCGGGGAATCGAACCCCGTCCTGCGAGTTTCACCCGTACGGGACCACGCTAGGCAAGCTCGCGGTGCGCCGTACACCACACCCGATTCATATGGCTCTGGGTACATTGGAATAGGTGGAGCTTATTGCAACTCCCGACTGGATAGACTGGCGCCGCGAGGATCGTTGTATTAGAACAGAAAGTGAGGAGTAAGGCTCAAATTTGCGACCCGGAGCTCTCCGACACTGCCACTCGGTGAATTGGAATTGCGGGCATTGATGCATTGTTCACACGGTTTGAATCCACCTCCAAAGTGAACCTTGATCGGTGACTGCGGATGCGAAGGAAGACACCGGTATCAATTCTGTTCTGGCGGCCGACTCTTTCATAAAAACGGGGGAAAATGGCGAGTAGGGTACTCGGGTACGGGGAGTTAGACCCCGACCAGGGAGGTTTATCAAAGCATGCAGGGAAGTAAAGAGACCCGCGGTGTATACTCCGCCCGATTGCGGGTACTGTGGGCAGATTGAGTGCGCAGGGACGAATTTGAACCAGATAGTGTTGAATCAGGTGTAACACCTGATTCAAAACTACTTATTCTGAGGTGTTTGGCGATTCTCTTCGCTTGAATTGCTATATGCCTACCAGTGCAGGTCCCGGGCCTTGCAGGAAATTTGGAAAGAAAGAAGCAGGGAGAAAGAGTACCTCTGTTCTGGCAGTCGAAGGCTCGGAGAAAACCACCAGAAAACCAACCAGAAAACGAACGGGTGTTGAGATCAGAGAAAGAGGTGAAATCTCACCTGGCCGGTGAGGCTCGGGGTGCGCCGTGCATCCTCAACCTAGTCAAATTTCAACTTTAAACCTTGATTCCAACCGCTATGTGTCCGAGGCAGCATTCCACAGCAGGAAAAGAGTGGGCTAGTAAAGGATGCGGGTTGGAATGGGTTGGAAGCTTAGGGGTCAGACCGGGCCGCGAGAGCCGCCGTGATGGATGATACTACTGATCTCGCATCACGCACCGCTTGACGCCACTTGTTTCCTCCAACGTTGTCCTGCGAAAACCTAACCTAGTGCCTTTCGTGAGGGGCCCAGCGCATCGTATTCAACTGTTCTTCGAACTCGTACGTATTAGCTCCTCGCTCGTTGAATGTGCGAAGCAGTGACGTCGTCCATCCTCCGTGCGCTTTCTAGCGGCTCTTATCGGTTCGCGTGTCCCTTTGCACTTCCGCAGCTTCGTCCTCACAGGTAACCACATCCACCTGTGCACAGAAGGGCGATACAAAAAATATCGAGGTGGGTGCGCGCAAACTGTGGACGTGCAGACTCACCCCACGCTCTGCACCCCCCTTCGCCAGCCGTCGTGTGCGAATCCGCCTGCTTACTCCGCCCTGTTGCTCCCTTCCCGTGTTGCTGCGCCGCCACTTCACCCGCTGTGAGCGCCGCCTCCGCCACGAAATACGAGCGCGATACCACCAACGACTCACCAGACGGGTGCGGGCGCCGATTGCGAAAATGCTGCGGCGAGGCCCTGACATGTGCGCCCTTGACCTTTTCCGCCCCATGAGCCACCTACCAAGCGCGCGCGGAGGGAAAAAGAATGGCGCTCCATTGAAGAATGCGTGTCTCACGTCTCTCACGCGAGACCTCCACCTCCCGCGTTTCCGGGATCCGCCGTTCGCGCGTCTTCATCTTCGAACTCGCGCATCACTCATTCATCAGCATCCCTGCGCGCGGCTTTGCACTCGTTCGCGTGTCGATTCGAATTTTCGTCGCGTCGCATCGGACGTTGCGGGGACAGCGGGAGGGGTGGGGTGCCTGCCTTAATTGGTGTGAATTCGATTGCACGTTACGAAGTAAACATGTCTGGACTCTGGACGACGTAGTGTTGGTCAGAATAAATATGATACAGAGAGGTAATTTAGGCCACGCTGGGCAATGGAGAACAAAGGGTCAGTTCAACTGAAACAGAGATGATGGCACCTCATCCGGTTCATCAATGACCAAACGAGTATCCGTTGCCACTTCTGCCTCAACAACCTTCACCGGCGACTCGTTCGCAACTTCTTCTTCAACATCCTTCTGCGGTCCCTCTATGAGCATTTGCTGTTCCTTGGCGGCCCCCAGCACAAACCGCATTCTCTTATCCGTAAGTATTACCAACTCTCGCCAAATCGCTGCCGCAAGATCAGGGTCGGCGCCACGCATTGTGCACATATCGGCGAAACCGGCGGGCGAACGGTGCAGGGCGCTGTCGCGTACTGTGTTCGACCACGCTTTGTCGTCCTTAAGCAGTGTCGCCGTTCGTAGCGCAGCAATGTTTTTGCATAGGGCTTTATGGGGATTATTTGGCGCGTCCCATGCGGCGGCAAGGCACTAAAACGATGGTGAAGATGAGAAGAGTTTTTTGTGTTCTCAGAACAAAGGAATGACACACCACTTTACTGCAGTACCGAACAATCCCGCAACGCGAGCATACGTACAACCGCTCGTGTATTTTTGTCGTGCATTCGATGTACAAGCACTGATCATGAAATCCCTGGGTCAAGAGACGGGAGACAGCGTATGACATGGGCAACGCACCTGGTTCCTGTTGCGTATTTCTACCATACGGTTGAATGCGATGGCAAAGTGTTTTTTGCGGTCGGTCATTTCCGGCCGATCCTTCGGTATCACCCACGAGCCCTCCGAGACAACGTTGCGGATTCGACGCACAAGGCCGAACCAACGGCGGCAGTCGTCCATCGGATTTTGAGTGCGCCGAAGTCCGAGTAGAATAGGTTCAATTTCGACGGCAATGGGGTACATCTCCTCGTACACAGGGAGTAAAAGCGACAGCGTAACCGGGAGGTCGATTTCGGAGAGAGTATGAAAGAATCCATGGGCGCAAACAGTGACGGGGGCAATAAAGAAAGGCATGCGAGCGGCCTGTGCCGTTCCCATGAATCGAGAGCCTGCTTTAGGTGCTCTGTCGCGAGGGGAAACAGGTCCCAGCGTTGGAAGACTTGAAGTGCGAATGGCTCCCAGTATCGGGGTAGGGCGCCGATGAGGGAGAATACACTGTGGCCGCTTGGGGGGATGGCGGCCCATTGCACAAGACCCATAAGAACCTCCTGCTGCCCGCCTGCGGCCGGAATAACATCCTCGATGCAGCTGGGCCAGGGACGCGCATCTGCGGGAGTGTTTTCCTTCACCCGCGCAAATTTCCTTGCGCCAATGCGCATGAAGTAGTCGCTGATTGTGGAGGTAATTTCGAATAGAACCAGTTCCGGGACCTCCACGAGTGGACGAAAGACTGGGCGGTGAGAGCGGATGCTGCTACTCTTGCAAGTGCAAGTCAACAGCCTCGCACGAATCGCGGCATGCTCTTCCTCCGTGCGCAGGGTGGATACGAAAATCATGGCAGCTCTGAGAACTGGGCCTTGACGCGCGTCGTGTTCCACCTCTTTTCTGGTGATTACTTTGTCCAGGACCTCGCTAACACCCAGGACGCAGTAAGAGTCCGGGTGCATGGGGTCCAGAAGCGTAGATATGAGGAGGGCTCGCTCTCGTTTACTGGCGCCTGGATTCGAGGACATGTCGTGGCGATGAAAGGGAATTCGAAATCACACCATGCGCGTGAGTCATCGAACAGTTTGATGCGTTGATGCAAACAAAATCAATGATCCGCCAATGATCCGGCCCCCGTCATTTCCTTGGTTCCCCTCCACCATTTGACCACCGTACTGCAAGCACCTCCACTTCTGCTCCAAACGGGGAGCACAAGGGCAAAAATGATATACGTAGACGGTCGAGGTCGCATAAGTCTTCCCAAAGTCTTACCAACGCCAACAGGTTGCTAACGGGGTCCGGCGGCAAGTTCGGCAGTCCGGAGGACGGTATGCGCTGAATCTCGATCGAAACTACGGCGGAAATGAAGCTTGTGAAGCTCACCCCCCTTGTCGATCTGAACGAAAAAATACCGTACGTCCCACGGAGTCATCTGATTCGGGACACAGTTGAATACGTTAAAAAAACATGCGGTCCACCACTTTAGCACTCGGACGCGGGGAGTCGAACCCCATTCAGCGAGTGGTATTCGCTTTGAGCATCCTCAGGAAAGTTCGCCGTGTACCGTACACCACACCCCATTAATGACATTATGAGTGAGTTGGAATTTCACCCGTGGATCCTCCAAGAGGTGAGCGCATTCGGACGGCGCTACACGTTACTGAGTCAGAGCAGAGCAGTGTTCAAATCGATTTGAGACCAAGACGAAATAAGCCGCCGTGGTACTCCGTCTGACGGTTGAACCAGATATCGCAATAGGGAACACCTCTTCAAAGTTCTGGCGGCTGGTATAGGGACAATGGGGTGCGGGCAGTGTGCTCGAAGTTTGGCGATCGATGGGGTGAATTTTGTTGCGATTGTATGCATATCGCCCAGATGAACTCGTCCCAGGTGTCGAGTTTGAACATGAGACGGTGGGGACGGGCCGCCTGGATTCGGGACTCTAGATTGGAAGGAAGCCCGACGTCGACGAGCGATTACAGTTCAGGGGATACCGAAATGAACGGCGAAGCCAGGATTGCTCTTCACTCTTTTCCTGAGCTAGGAGGTAGGCAAGTGAGGAGCTAAGTGTGAGGCAACGTTGTCAATGACCGTGAAGCGTGCAAAAAGAACTGCGCGCTGAGAGTTGGTATTGCAGGCGCGGGGAGTCGAACCCATCTAGTGAGTTCATCCAGAGACTGTGCGAATAACGGCTCGCTGTGCGCCGTACATGTACTCGCTGAGACGAGGGATTGAATTTGAACGCACCTTGAACCTTTCAGACTCTGTGGATTGTTTATACGGCATTTCGGGAATTTGATCGATTATTCTCACGGTTCAAATTCATAAATCAGGGTTAGTGACGCTGGTCAGCGCCGGTCCTGAATGTGAATGGAAAGAAGGATTGGATCTGAAGCTAAGAATAAATGGGAGAAAAATATAGCTAGCCTTCGGGGGCATTCGGGTGCGGGGAATCGAACCCGGTCCTGTGAGTTTTATGCCTTTCGTCTTATCCCGCTCAGGGCAACTCCCGGTGCGCCGTACACCACACCTGAGTACGATGGCTATTTACGCTGTACATGTACCCGCCAGGCCAAGGGATTGAATTTCCATGCACCTTGGGCCTCTTGGGCTATGTGAATCATTATATGCGGGTTGCGGAAAATTGATCTATCATTCCCACGGTTCAAATTCATAAATTCTGGTTAGTGACGCCGATGCTGAATGTGAAAAGAGGGAAGGATTAAGTCTGAAGCCACTCGAGAGAGAAACATCGCTGTCTACTAGGCCCATCCGGGCGCGGGGAGTCGAACCCCGTCCGGCGAGTCTTATTCCTTTCGCCGAATACGAGCGTTGTGAAGCCTACACTCATCAGGCCGCAATGACGCCGTAGCTTTTAAGCATCAATATGGACTGGCCTGGACTTGAGTGCGTGAGTCATCAGCGATATTTTAGTATGCCGGGAGTAAATGCAAAGCTGACCTTGACTCTTGGGAAAACCACCAGGAAAAAGAAATGATATGCTGGACTGACCCAACCGGGCGCGGGGAGTCGAACCCCGTTGAGCGAGTTGTATTCCATCGAAACTGTTAACAAGCGAGCTCGCGGTGTTCCGTACACCACACCCGGGTAAGGTAAATTATGAACGCTGTAGTGAGATGAAGGTCGTAACCCTGGAACCTGTTAATCCGGAGACGTCCTATTCTCTCTAGACAGGTGCTCTATAAGAAATGCGCTCGTACGTCGCGTTATAGAGAAACATCCGCGCTGTGGCTAGAAATATTACCACAGGAAATCACGAAAGTTGGTAACCCCCGAATAAACGACCGCGCCATGCCGTGGTGAGGACTATTACGACAGAAAAGCCCGAGTTCGCGGTGGCGAATGTTATTAGGCACCGGATGATGAGCACCGTCAGTACGTTGGGTGAAGCATCGGATTGCGAAGGTGGTTTAATACGTTAGGAAAGGATGCTCGCAGTACTCGTCCAAGAGTCAATTTCCGGCGCCGGGAGTCGAACCCTGTGGAGCGAGTTGTATTCCATTCAAACTCTTTACTCTGATAAGCGAGCTCGCGGTGTACCGTACACCACACCCGGGTAAAGTAAGTATAAATGAATGTTGGTGAGTTGAGGTTCGCAAGGCGTTGAACCTGTTGATGGTTAAACGTTCGCGTCATGCTGTGGTTGGGCGGATCCCATGTGTACCACTTGGACTGAAGACCTTGATTTTATAAAGTGTGTTAGAGGATCGCGGCAAAAGATCACGAGTTCGCGGTGGCGAATTGTGTTACGCATCGGATGATGACGGCTCAGCACCCTAGAAAAAGATGTCCACATGCCCAACATTCGGGCGCGGGGAGTCGAACCCCGTTCAGCGACTTGTATTCTCTTCAGCAGGGCATCCTACATAAGGAAAGTTCGCTGTGTACCGTACACCACACCCGATTAATCACACTGTGAGAACGTCACTCACGGTGGGCTTTACCACGGGGACCCCAGGATTCAAAAATCGGAAAGGGGGGTCGAAAATTCTTTTGCAGCCTTGGCTGGACTCCCTTCCCTCCGTCCAAATTTCAACCCCGACGTCCCCTTTTTTACCCCGCAGCGTTACAGCTATTTGCGGAACATAAGGCGCGGATCATTTTTTTTTCTCAAAATGGCCACTTTGATCATTTTCACTGCTGCCCCTCTAATGCATTCAATTCTGCCTCAAATGCCGTGAATCCTTCACTAGACATTTTCAATGAATGTTCCAGAGTGCGCCGTCTGCTCAAATTAGTTCTCTTATTCAGTGATGGCTGAGTAAGCCAGATGATCAAAATTTACCTTGCTACCTCTGCTTCAAAGGAAGGATCTATTGGGGGGTGCTGAATATTTGTCTCTATGTTTACATATGTGTTTCCAAGTGCGCCAGGTACTTTATGTTGCAATTCTGCCCCGAGACACATGTCAACAAGCACATCAATAAATCCATTCATTTGATTGTGGTACCTGTGCCATGGCAGGAAAATATACTGCCCGAAAGGCTACACTATGCACTGTATGGGACACTCATACACCCACAGGCAAAAGGCTAGGGCATCCTCACGTGAACTCCTCTTTAAGCAGGGTCAGCAGTTGGAAGTTCATGGCATTTGCTTACAAATCCACTAGCGGGAAAGAGAAACTTGAGAACCGGCCTAAGCACTGTGAAATACCCCTAGAGATCGATTGAAAATGGTTCCAGGGCTCCAGGTGAAGAATTGAGCAAGATATCGGGGTAGCAGTGAAAACAACCCTTTTTGATAAAAATTTGATCCGCGCCTTATGTTCCGCAAATAGCTGTAAAAGCAATTTGAGATTCAGACCAAGACAACATAAGCCGCCATAGTACTCAGAGCGGTACTCAGAGTGGCAGTTGAACCAGGTATTGTAATAAGGAACACCTCTTCAGAATAAGAAGTATTTTCCGGCGGGGGGAAAAAGAAAATCCGCTCATTTCCAGCATTCGGGTGCGGGAGCCGAACCCCGTCTAGCGGGCATCATCACATGGAAGGCTATAGAAGGACTCGCGGTGCGCGGTACACCACACTGGAGTGATAGACCTGTGGCGGGATTGGCTTGGGTGGTAATATCGTTTTGATGGAGTGTTCAGTGGAAGTTTGTATTTTTTTGGGGGGGGCGGGTAGAATGGATACCGGTGCGGGGATTTGGGTGGAGTTTCAACCTGAGTGAAGAGAGGCAGGGGAAACGGATCTGGATTCCGGATTTCAGATAGGAACGAACTGACAACTTCAGGCGATATCAGAATTATCACTCTTGAGTCACCAGCATCGGCCCTTGCTAGATGGTGAGGAGGGGACCCACGAGCTCAATATTAATGTGGCAACACTGACCGTGACGGGCAAAAAGCACGTCGCGGTCAATGCAGGCGCGGGGAGTCGAACCCTGTCTCGCGAGGTAAGTCTAAGAACATGAATCGGCAATGACAACTCGCGGTGCGCCGTACACCACTAGGGATGCCCACCGCCCCCGTCTTTACGGGTGGGACGGGCTCCGTAAATGGCACCCCGTCCCGTGCCGTTTCGACATCGGCTTCAACAAATAAGCGGGCGGGTACGGGCGGCAGTACTGCCGTCAATACCCGCCCGTTGACGGCCGTCGACGGCCGCAGACGGGTTGGTGAATTTTACCAAGCTTTTTCCAGCTGTTTTAATGGGATTTAGCGGGAGGGAGATCCTACTTGGTTCATGGTGAGACCTATTACCACCTGAGAACTGATTAAATGGGAACAGGGACCATTTCACTCATGTACCATCGGATGCCGAGATGCCGGTGTTTGAAACTCGCCCGACTCCTCGTCCTTTTCTCGGCCTGTCGCGCGGCCACTTCTATTCCAGACCCACTGAGGAATCCACATCCCCAGCTTGGCTTCTGAGCACTCAATTAGCAACGAAATCACCTTTTATACCGGTGGGATATTAATTACCGTCCCGTCCCCGCTTACGGCCGTCTTTTGTGCCGCCCGTCCCGCCCCAGGGTCTTGAGGTCGGAAAAGACGGCCGTCAACGAGGCGGGCCGTCACCGCCTCGAGTTTGTGGATTGACGGCCGTCGCCCTAAACGGGACGGTGTCCATCCCTATACACCACACCTGCATGGTGGTAACACTGGAGTGATGCCTACGTCTAATCGATTTTGGGCGTAACTGAAAGCTGTAAGTGTTCGCCGCAAAATCGCTGCAAAAGGCGGCCGCTCTCTTGCCGCTCTCTTGCCGCTCTCAGGGTATTTGGCGACTCGAAGCATCGATCAACTGCCATACGGCGCGCGATTTTGCGCGAAAGCAGCTAGATAGGAGCGTGGTCGGATCATTGTTAGAAGAGAAGAGGAGGTCGGGCCGAACACTAAACAGCCGTCGGCTGATACGTGATGAATGATAGCGCATCAACACCGCCTCACGCTTCTTTACTCTGCTCGTTCATGTCAAAAACTCGAAGATTCAGTACTCAGTGTTCACTTCATGGGTCAGAAATTGAATCCAATTCCATCGGTTTCCTCGTCACTCAAAGCAACTGCTGGCTCGTCTGCAACGCCCTCGCCATTCGGGTTCTAATTTTCGCAAGTTCCATGACGAGCGCTCGGGACTCTTTGAAGGTCTCTTCCAGTGCCTCTACTTGAAGTAATACTTGAACCCTTGTGCACTCCAACAGCGTCGTCTGATTCCACCGTTCACGACGCACGCGTTCACGCATCAGCAAACACTGAATTGTCCAGTAGCTGTAGGCCAAAGATATCAACCATTGGTAGTCCCAGTACTGTACTATTTCGCTCAATTCTCCGCGGCTGTGACCCGTAACACAAATTTTCGAACTTCACTTTTCGAAAATTCACTGGACCCGCCGTGACCAGGAAAGAAATTCGAAAATGTCACCGAGGCTGGAGGAGGAGGAGGAGGAGGTGTATTAACCGCGGTGGTCCCTAAAAGGAACATACGGGTGCTGTACCGACATACATGTGCTGCTCTAACTTCATATATGCTACAGCCACGTACTATTCGAAACGTTGTGATAGAGATGCACACAGAGCATTCGTCGCGCGAACTCAAATAGTAAATGGGAAATTGTCAAGCAGGATTACCACGTGGTTGATGCTGAGAAAACACACGAGGATTTCTGTCGAGGTGATCCTCCAGAATATTTGGGCAGCTTTAATGGCGCAGTGATTGAGGTGATATCGGAGTTATGATCGAGAAGCAAAGCCCAGTGAGACATGCTCCTCGCCGTCCGAGACAACCCGAAGGCAATTGCAGAATACAAGGCATTATTGCCACGATAGAGGTGGGTGGGGACAAAAGACCTGTTGGCGTGGGGCCTGAAACAACGTTGAAAACACATAATTCTGGCTTGATTTGCTAGGGTTGAACAAAAGTTTAATCGGTGTTACTTATTATTGTAAGACTAGCCCCGAAGGAGCCATAGACACCCAAAAAACGGGTAGCCTGCAGCAGATATTTGATTGTTGAGCGGCAGCAATTTCCGATTTAGCGTTTGAGTGAGCGGTGGGATTTTTTCAACCTCACGGCATGTGGGGGAGAAAGTTGGAATTTTTCAGCTCATTTTCGTCGATTTTGTGACTTCTTTTGAATGTTCGAAAATGCTCCCAGTGACCCGTGACAGGTTCGAAAAATTTCTAAAATTTTGAGGCCTGTGACGCGTGACTTACGAATTGAGCGAAATAGTACAGTAGTCGTTCTGCTAAACTTGGTAGCCGTCGGTAGTTCTGGTAGCCAAGGGGCCACGGATCAGTAGCTCACGGTAGCGGCTAGGCCCCGATCAGTAGCGGCAGATAGCCGAGCTCCCGAGGACTGATGAGTGGAAGGGATCAGGAGGCTCCGGCGGACTCAAACCACATGGAGGTTGAGAAATCTGTTGATAATAGTTCTTAACCTCGTTTCGCTGGACATGTCGTTTGCGGCACAAAGTCGTTGGAAACGAGAAGTCATTCAAACTCCGCTAACACACGTGTCAGATTGCGTGATCATTCCGTGATCAAGACACGTGTTGGTTGATGCCATTTCGTCCCTCTTTCTTCCTTTTCCCCCACCTCCCTTCCGCTCGTTCTCTCTCCCGGCGTCTTATCTGGCTCTATGCAGGACATCCCAACTCCCAACAGTGCCCTCAAACCCCACTGGACTCCCACACCCTCGTTCTCCGCCTTTGTTCCCTCAGCATCATGTACGGCGTCAAGACTCGCTCAAGACACTCAAGGCTTCAAGGCTTCCGAGTTCTCTACCATTCAAGTCAGCAAACACTTTACTCGAGCCAAGGGCCGCAAGTTATCGCCGCGCCACAACCTGCATCAAAACCAGATGTCGTCGCGTCGAGATCCTTGTTGCGTCAAGCCCCGAGGTCAACGCTGGCCCTCCCTCGAAGTACCTGCAGATACCAACATGCAAGTTCGACTTCCGCCAGAGCCTGGGACTTGAATTCATGGGGGCACGGGGACATTGCTACTCGGTATAAAGTGTGCGTGCTCAAATCATGACTACTTTTCACATTCTTACGTTTTCTTGTATAAACATGTTACCCCATACACCGTGGCCTTGCCTCTCCCTCCGTCGCCCCTACCGCAGCTCGAGCGCATCATGCATACCTGCGCTCACGTGGCGGCCGCGAAGGTTCTACATCGAAGCACACCGTCCCCCGTCGCCCATACTCTGCGCGCGCAGCATTTATTCGAGCACCCGCCTTCACACTGGACAAGACCGTGACGTACACGCACCGCGCCGTGCTGTACTCGACTGCCTACACATTAGCGAAGCTGCATTCACTTATGGTGTACCGCGCCGCGTGACCCACACCTCCTTACTGTAGTTTAATTTTGAATGAATTACATTTTTCCTGTACCAATTTGACACCCACTACAACATTTGAGCCTGACTACTGCTGGATATCATGGGCTATTGTGA